ACTGAAGGCAAAAACGTTTCAGCTCTCAGCAAGCTCGAATAAGGCTCTGTACCAGCTGATGAGCGTGCCGAAGAATCATTACATCATGATGATTTATATTCTAAACAGCAATTTCCATACATTTGCATGCCTATTAATTGCCTCTCTGTCAGAAGCGAAAGTAGATAAACTGAACATAACTAACTAAATTAAACCCATGCACCAAGAAGCAGCAAAAAATGTTTAACATATGATATAAGGGATAACATGAATAATGTTATTATGAATAATATTATAAATATATTGTATTGCTGTATATATTACATACTAATATGCAATTTTAAAAACATAAAACATATGTATACAAGATCTTGAAACGCTCTGTTAGTCACGCCAAACTGCATCATCTTCAGGGCAAGGACTGTAATTTACATTGGACAGATATGACATACAATGCTAGGCACCATATATCATATATTTGTACAATGCCTAATGCTGTTATAAAAGCAAACTTTAACCAACAAACCTGCTGTGAGCTCAAGTATCGACAAATGTAAATTTGACAAGAACATAATCAAGAGAACATACTTTTTATTAAAAAAAAAAATCATACAATCGTCTCCTCTCTCACCATAGGTGGTCATAGTACAATAAAAACAGCAATTTACAAATTGCTGAGCATATGATTTTGCTGAAGCAGATCTGCTCTGAAGGGCACAGGCATAACCTACTAAAGCCAAGACTTGGTCTAAATCTGAGTAATTAACCTGCTTCACCCTTCCCCACCCCCAAACGCTGAAAGAAAACACATTCAGCCCCGAGGGAACCAGAAATTCCTTCTCAACAAACAAGTTTCCAGGGATAATTCTACTGACACTAAGGATTTGTTTATATTGCAAGCAGAACAGGACTCATACTATAGCAAAGTCACAACCACACCAGATTTGAGGATGGTAGCGGAAAGAGCATGGAGCTTACCACAGCAAGGTAAGCACCAACACAGCTAGCCTATTGGGCACCAAGCCATTGCAATGCTCTGATGAGCTTGTGCTATAGAGTTTTAAACACGCACTGGTGTATGCCTCGACTATTTCTTCTTGCAGTTTACATAGAGTCTTATTATTCGCAAAGCATTGTTACAAACATGCTACAAAACCAGATGCTTTTGTAAGAAGATTCACAGTAAAACAGTAACAAACATAAATAATGAGGAAACTCAAAAGTATTTACATGCAGAGCTTTCAGAGGAGCCACCTCTAGACTCTGCAGCGACACCCTGTAAAAGGCAAATACATACTATAAGCAGGTCAAGTGTTTAATATGTGAAAGAATTTTCAAATTCAATGTGTATTTCCAGGACAGCTGGCAGCCTCTCTTTTCCTAGGAAGCTTTTGTTTTTCTGTACTCCATATAAGCTCTTATGTTGAGAGCGCTGCACTTGTATTACCAAGTATATACTGAAAGCAGTTTAATGTCAGATACCCAACATTACCGAAAGAGCTGTCACCACTTAATGCCTAGGTTTCAATTTTGAAAATAACTTGCTAGTGCAGGAACTTCATTCCTTCTCTCGCCTCAAGCCAAAACCCCCTAGAACAATCTTTCTTACTTCTCTGCCTTCTAGCTGCTGAGAGACCTGGACAGAGACAATTCGCAATTTTCAGCCTCTCACCAAGTAGTCCACTTCTTCCATTTGTGAGAGTCACCTATGAAGAAATTCGTCATGTTGAAACTGGCAAAAACTCACAAGCAGCATCACAGACACTCCTGTAAGTGCAATATAATCTTTCTTTTCTGTTCTTATCCAATTTGGAGGCTTTCTTTAAAGAATAACTGTGACAGTTAGAAAGAGTTTTTTGGTGGGGGGGGGGAGGCATAAGGCAGGGGGGGGTAGTATCCAATCTAGAGAAACTGATGACATTCAAACTTTCCATTTGCTATGAGAATCTATTTTAAAGTATCTTCTGAATATTAGCCATCTAGTCACACACAAAAAAAAGCTTTATATGTTTCAGTAATCTGAGTAGAACAAGAGGTCTTGCTCATCTACCAACTTTTTTTCCTATCTTTAATTGTGAGTAGTTGTTAGACTGCCATATATTGATGAAGGGGGAAAAACTCCTAAAGGTAATTTGCATTTGATTAACAATTCTATCAAACATCAGTCACTGCCTAACTGTACAACACAAATAAAACCAAATATGCTTTTTGTGAAATTTGTGTAGCGTTCTGAACCCACTTCTCCAGTTCACTCCCTGGAGTATGTTCTGGACTAGGGTCACATGATGAAACTATAGGTTAAGTACTATCATTTAAAACACACTGTAGCATACAGCACTATGCAAATCTCGAATTGCTGTGACTGGACACAGATACTATTATGTTGCTATAGTGCTTGGTAAAGAGCACGTGTCAAGCATGTTAAGAGATGCCACAGTCAATTAATGCCCCCAAACTACATTTTGCAGGGCTACATATGCAGCTTTCACATCAACATCAGCTCCCGTGGTTAGCGTGAACGCAGTCACAGACAAAAAGGGTCTACAAATCCCATTAACCATCCCTTCACCACCAGCGCAAACGGCTCGCCTCCGGGAGCGGTCTTTTCGTTTCGTCCAGTGTTACGATATGCCCTCCTCCGCGACGATACTCATCACGCCGGCTCGTAACGCACGTTCAAAGGCCGGTCCGTCGGCCTGCCCCAGCCGCCGGACCT